ACTCCCTCCTGAGCTGCCTTCAAAGGGACAGCAGAGCAAAGCCTGAGGCCAGGCGCAGCAGCTGCTCTAGCTCCAGGAGCACCCTGCAGCTCAAATGCAAAGCAAAAGCCTCAAGGGAAGAACCGTCCAAATGTTTATTTTGAAAAATTAACTAGAAATAAAGTAGCAAACATACAGAAAGAGGAACTGGAGATTTAGCCCTTAAATCTTGCAATAATTCCAGGATTTCTAGATCTGTTTTTCCCCTCCCTTGCTTTCCCCAAACTGCCCACTCTTTGGAAGACAAGGAGGGACCACCTTGCCAAGCATTCCTCTCACTGTTGTCCTGAGCTGAGCCCAAGGCCTGGAGAGACTCTGACCCCTGCTGCTGCTGGCCCTTAATGCCAAGCTTAACAAGGCTGTCATTAGACCAGGCTTCCCTCTGCGCTGCTCTGTGCCGCTCGCCGCACTTCCTTCATGTCATAGGCCCAGACCTGCTCCAGCCCCTGCCCAAGGGTGCTGGTGGGGGTCCAAGAAGGGAAGGGGAAGCGTCCAGCCACCACCCGGGCTTCATCAGGGAGTTCTGCAAGGAGCTTGGCAGCTAGAGGAGGTTTCTGGGGAGAGAGAAAGACAGCCAGGGCCAGGCGGCCTTAGAAAAGTCATGTAGTGGCAGTGCCACCAGCGACCACAGGGCAGCTTCTCGGCATGGCTGGTGGGTCCCAAGCAGACAGCATCAACCAAAGTCCGTTCCAAAATGCAGGGCTGGTACTAGCCCTGTGTATGTTTGGGACTAGGACCAATAACAAGGGGAAATGGCCTCAAGTTGTGCCAGGGGAGGTTTAGACTGGATATTAGTTTAGGAAAAATCTCTTCACTGAAAGGGTTGTCAAGCATTGGAACCGGCTGTCCAGGGAAGTGGTTGAGTCACCATCCCTGAAGGTATTTAAAAGACATGTAGACATGGCACTTAAGGACACAGTTTAGTGGTGGACTGGCAGTGTTGGGTTTACAGCTGTACTCAATCTTAAAGGCCTTTTCCAACCTAAATGATTCTATGATTCTATAAATTCGAGTGCTGAACACCGAATCACTCACACCAATGCCCGCTTGGCCTTAAAGTCTTTGCCACTGTCCCAGATTGTCTCTTTTCTAAGAAAACCCTCCCTCGAGCTTGCTCAGAACAAGTCGGGGTGCCAGAGACCAACTTACCACGCTGGGAGCCAGGAACACAATCACATTGTAGCAATCAGAAAGATTCACCTTAAAAGAGAAGGAAAAGGGGAATGAAAGAAGCAACAGGCAGACAGGGCATGGCAGGAGGAACCATTTGGGTGGCCAAATGCTTTGCAGGTGATCTTCTGAACCTCAGAGGAAGCAAAGATGCCCCACAATGTGTGGATCGGGGATGTGTTGGTGTGACCAGGAGCTGGATGTGAAAGCAGCACCTCTTGCAAAACACCTGCCTCCAGCATCGTCCCAGAACCATGTTCCCTGCTGGGTTTTCTCTGGTCAGGCTGCAGGTACCTAACACCAGTTTTAGCAGCATGTCTATGAAGGCCACCACGTGGCAGCAGCACCTAAGACCTCTTCTCAAAGCTGCCCTGAGAAGGAGCACTGCTGCCTGCACAACCAGCAGCCTGCCATGGGCTGCCCAGGCTGGCGTTCCCCTGGAAAGGAAGACGTTTTTTCCACCTCCTGGGAGCAGTATGGGTTGGGGAAGGAGCAAACAACCATCAGCAAAGGCTTTCTGGAGAGGCAGACCAAGCCCTGGCCCTGCCCTAGCTATGGCCAGTGCTGAGCACAGCCAGGCCCTCGGGACACTGTTACCTTCCACAGATCTTTCTTCAGGAAGGAAACCTTCCCGTGGTACCCAGCCTTCCAGGCCCGGTAGTTGGAGAGACACAGCAGCCAGGGGTTGAGCTCATAGCCAACAGCTGGGCTGAGACCTTGCTTATAAGCCTCTACCACCTGGAGAGAGAGAGAGAGTTGCAACTAAAATGAACCTCGGTGTTGAGTTTGGGGGATAATTTGGGGGACAGGGGCTGTTGCCCAGCTCCACTCGCTCCCTCCTGCTAGCTCACAGGCAGGGTGACCTCGCTCCTCGGCACCTTCCAGGTGCAAAGGCTCTTTCCTCCTAGAGTGGGCGCTTCCACCCTGCTCACTGCATGTGATGTCTTCTAGGGCCGCCTAGGGCCATCCGGGACCACAGCCGGGGGGCCATCTAGAAACACAGCCAGGATCGGGGCAGCAGCTGGGGCGGGGGGGCTCCCAGCCGCCCTCCTGCTGAGCACA